CATATCCAAACGCCCTGTGATAACAACTCAAAAAATCTCCGAGTTGACAATATTGTTGTGGAATTTCTGAGTCCAATTTTTCGCTCAATATAATTTGGCTCACTGTGTATATATTGACTTCGAGTTCCAATAGAAAATGGCTGCACTGCCGTTACTCTCTATCGATTCAGAAATAGATATCTCCACACAGAGCCCTATAAGATTTCTCGCAGTCAAACGGTAGATGAATCCTGCACAAGTAAGCAGGAATAAAAGCAGGAATATTCTTCACATGGCATCCGCATGAGGCGTGAATTTCACTCTGTCCAACAGATGGCGCTGCAATTCCTTTTCGTCAGGACGACATGATTTTGAAATGATTTTCGTCCTTATAGGCTGCAAAGCAATTGTCATTTACACGCCTGAACTAGAAATTTCGAAGTATTTTGAAAATTAACTTTGATTATACGAATATTTGGGTCGATTCTGTTTGCAAATAGCAATATGGTTGTAGAGAAGATATTGCTATCCATAGCAAGATTCGTAAAAGTGGAATTCTAATCATCGATTTTCGGCAATATGATCTGTCAATTTCAATGACATCTAGTCAGCTTTCTTGCTATCTCGGCAACATCAATTTTGTGCTTGCTATCTTATAACAAGGAGGTGGATTCCTTGTTCTTGCACTACAAATTCTTCCAACTGTATGATAATTCAGAAAATAGTGGATTAAAAACATATGAGAGTTAAGTTGTGTCACTGACTACTCGAAAACCTATCCTCAAAGTTTCAATTCGTAGAAGAATAATTGGAAAACATAAAATGTTGATTACAAACATATAGGATAGGTTCACTACTGTGACGAACTACTTGAAAACCTTTTCTTGAAGTTCCAATTTGTAGAGGAAATATATGACACTACAATTTCGACATATCAGAGAAATTTCAGTTGCCTGATGGATAGTTGATCAAGCTATTTTGCTAGAATATTAATAATAAATCACGATTATTTCCATCCGGCTTTTATAGTTGTTTTCTCATTTCGGCAACATGATTGATTACTTGCCAGTCGCACAACGACGACCAGATTCAGCAAATACAAAATCTCTCGATTTGAACTATATAATTTTGTAAAATGTCAGCGCAGGACTGACTAATTTGAGAGGTTAGATAATCATGAACTTTTCTTCATGGAATAATGGAAAACGATACCAAAAACTTAAACAATGAATTGTTGTCAGCTCGAAAATTCTCAATTTTCCAACAATATTGCTATCACTTGAACTTATAACCAGTCTTGCAGTTACTCTGAAAACAGAATACAGAACTCCATAGCAATATTGTTATATGTTATGATCATAACAATATTATTATCTTAGCAATGTTACAACAAGATCCGAACAGAATCGACTCGATTGTCCATGGTTAGAAGAAATCAAACTAGGATGATGATACAAAAGAATAACATTTGGTTCTGGAATTTTCCTCTCAAGTGTAGTAATTCATTACAATGTGTTTTATTGAAAAGTGTCTATACATTCAAAATAGCATTCAAAATAGCAAAGGAATCAACACAGGAGAACATCACTCGTGGATCGTAGAACAAATTCATTCTCAATTCTTTATTGGTGAAGACAATGAATAGCAAGATGACAACACTGTATTTGAATATTCAAAAAGAATATTCTGAGAATATGTCAGATAGAATGGACATAGAATATGGTTTGCTTATTGAGAATATTCTATGATCATTCTGAGAACATTCAATAAGAATATTCTGAGATAAGTATATTTGTACGTTGTCAGAATATTAATAGAATATTCTGTGCTGTCTGGGTTATGGGACACCTTGTATAAACCCTGTACCTTTCGAGACTACGTTCATATACAATATTCTGACGATACCTCTGTATATCTAGCTTGCTGCTCAGACATTTATCGAGTGCACACTAGACGTATCAGTATTCCACCCGATGTACGGGTAGTATTTACAACCCTCCGACGTACTATGAACAAAATTTCCAGTTGATTCACGGTGGAAGCGAGTTATAAAACGTAATTTTGAGGAGGAATCGTTCACTGAAACTTGGCTGCATATCTGCTGGGAATTAGGTTAGGTGGTGCAGGAGATGCCGTAAATTCTGGTGTTTGTAGACCCTTTGGGAGGTTATTAGTTCGTGGGGATTTTCTACCTGGTCGTTTGCCGTTTTCGAGAGCGTCGCAGCTGCTAATGACATTGGGTAGTGAATTAATTGAATCAAGTATTGATGAGGTATTTGATAAGATCAAACGCTCCACACACGGTGAAGAGACGGAACAATGATATTATTCATCTTCATTGGAATCAGAGAAGTAGGTAAGTACATTCATTGAAAATTTAAATTTGTATATGACCGACCTTCTATTGGTATACCTATCTCCATTATAGAATGAAGTTGGTTCTTCACCATTAGAAGGCGAGCATAACAGATAGATAGATAGATTTATTGATCACGTTACATACAATATGTATATTTGTGACATGTCAACTAAAATAACGTTGGAAAAACTAAAATTAGATGAAATAGATTTTCATATGTATAAATGTGACACTTAAAAATACAGATTGGAAGCAGAAGAAAAATACATGTATATATAAAATAGAATAATAAATCACAATCACTAAAAAGCTAAATTCTAAAATCATAGCTGTCACTCTAGCACTAGGTCAGAAAGAGGGGTTGACAGGTACTCCTCAACAAATGAATAGTAGCTGGTCTCAATCAACATCTTCTTCACTTTTCTTTGGAATTGCATAAGTGGTAATTGCCTGCAATGTTCTGGTAATTTATTGAATATATTAACATTCACTGTCAATCTGAAGCTAGGATTTTGTATCCATACTACAATTCCTAGTATTGTAAGAATGAACATCGCTGGAAGAGGTGAATTGTTGTAAGTTTTTTCGAATATAAGTGAGAGATTGAAATATATAAAGTGAGGACAAAAGTATGATTTTAAATTGTTCGAAGTAAGGTCTGCAGGATACCCTAGGCCCCACTCCGGCAATTATCCTGATTGCCCGTTTTTGATATACAAAAACTCTATTTGCATGGGATGAGTTCCCCCAGAGTGTTGTACCATAAGATATATGTGAATGAAAGAGAGAGAAATATGATATTTTCAATATTACATAGAAGATTAATGTGATTGTCCAAGTGTATTTGTGCTGAAGATAATGTTTGGATTCGTCAATAAATTCTGTTTGAGGTTATTTGGAATGAGCCATTCATCAATTTCAGATATAATATCCACATCAGTTTTCCTTAATATAATAGGATTCGAATTCGAATGGTAAAAAGTTGCATCATCTGCGAACATTATAGAATTCACAAAATTCATGTGAAAAAATAGGTCATTGACATAGATAATAAATAACAGAGGTCCCAGTACTGAGCCCTGAGGAACTCCGTGTATGATTGATCTAGGTTTTGATGATTTAGCATTATAATAAATACTCCGTTTCCTATTTGCTAGATACGATTTGAAAAATTCTAAAGCAACTCCTCTAACTCCATAGTGCTCAAGCTTGTCTATCAAAATCCGATGACAGACACAGTCAAAAGCCTTGCTGAGGTCACACAGAGTCACACTCAACATCGAGCTTTTATTGGCATAAATCAGGGCGTGGTAGTCTCAGATGTCAGAAAAACATCAGCTTTCCAGCATTATGATAATTCGTTTCATTTTATAAATTTGTAATCGTATTATACAAATACGTAGATAAAATATATCTCCTTTCTGAGTTACACCCGGGTGTTTCTTTTGTTAATAGGTGAGTGGACTTATTTTTTTCTATTCCTCAGTTTCATTTTTCCAAAGTATTTTCCGGTCGATTTTTAGGTGCTAAAATAATCAATCATGCCACGGTAATTTTCAAATAGCTAGAAATTTACCGCCATTAGTCAAAACTGACGCCACGATTTCGTAAGTAGGATCAGACCATAGCACAGTTATTGCCAAGTGTTGAAATACCATTGACACTTTGGAAAATTTTGTTTTCATGTTCTGGTTCCCACGAAAAGGGATATCCTGTAATGTTCAGAGAACATCGTGAGAACCAAGGGAAATAAGGTAGGAATTGGTGTTCTTCTTAAATTCCTGGAGTTAATATGCCTCGGGGTACACCTCCCTTGGCAATGTGTTCCAGAGTCTCTCTGTTCGTTGGATGAACGAGTCTTTCGAAAGAGATGTTCTGCAGGTCTCCAAAGTGACCACGAAGGGGTGCGAAGCCTCAACTCGACGGGTTAATCTCGCGGGAACTGCCAAGGGAGAAACAATTATTGATATTTCTGAAGAGCATCGTCCATGAAAATATCTATGAAACGGAGCTAGGTCGCCAACTTCCCTACGGTGTTATTCAATAATTTATTGATTTCTCGATTGAGTATTGGTTATATTCCTGAAATCAGCAATATAAGAATTCAATCGTCTCGAAATGTTCTCCTATGATTTGTGGCTTTTTGCTATAATAAATGCTTGTGAATAATGATTATATTAATTCACACTAGAGGACAGTTGAATCGGTGAACGTGACAACACGACGGTGGGCGTGGTCTCGTCAGTTCTCAACATTCAGGACAATATTGCCAAGTCTCCAACATTCACATGATATTTCGTTATGTAGAATGAGAAATATGTGGACATGCTGGTTGCTCGAGAAGGTCAATGATGTATTATGTTTTATTCAACAAGAGGACTCAAACATCTTTTTGATAACTTGATTATAATTGGTGACTTGACAACCTAGCTTCATAGATGAGAATGGAAGACTATCTGACCAATTAAGGAACAGCATAAAAACTGACGTCATCATTTATTCGACAGTGATGGAACTAGAACAAAATGTCACAATAGCACAAATTCTGCCCATGCCAACAGTTACCGTTCCATCTGATGTTCCTGCCAGACCAATGAGAAAAAAACGAGATTCGAGTGCAAAATGTCTTAATGATATCACTAACGGTCTCTCATCGTAATCAATGCCTTCTAATGATCAGCCCTCGACGTCAGCTGGAATGCCTTCAACGTCATTTGATAAACCTTCCACATCCAACGTCTCTAAGAAGTCTAGAAATAAAACCTCCAGGCAAGATGATGATGATGACGATGACTGGGAGTGTGGTGTTTGTGGAGATAATTATTCAGAAGATTATAGAAGGAAAAATGGAGCTAAATGGGTTCAATGTTCATATTGTTTGACACCATACCATTTGAAATGTCAAGCATCTGACAACGAAGAAGATGTTTCCATGTGCGACAATTGCGTCGGGTGTGCCAGCGAAGAATCAGATTGACTCTGAAGATTCCACTGTTGTTCACATGTTCATAATATTGTTTCTATAATATATAAATAAAGTATTTGTAACAATGTGCATTATTTTTGGAGATTCGCGAATATACCTACCTATATATCACGAAATTAAATACCCTACCACGAAATTACCTTCCCTGAACTCAAATGGTTGGAACAGTTTTTTCAGAAACTCCCTGGATTTTTTTTGTAAAAATAGTACTAGAATCTGTTGACACAACAATATATCGAAGTAGTCTAGCAGAGAAAGAGTATATATATTTCATGCACTCCATTCCTCGAGACAAAATATTAAATTATCACGAAATTACCTTACTTCACCCTATAGCCCAAATGGCGGCCATGACGTTACGATTGAAATGAGCTCTGGAATTCAACGATCTTGACCAACGCATAGACTTATTAATTGCATAAAAGAGTGTAAGAAGTGTTGAAAAAATTAATTAAGGTTCCTAACGACACAGTGGAGTAATTGAATGCCAATAATTCATTATCAGTCCACCCGCCCACTGAAATAATATTTGTGCCTATAGTATTTTGAAACTCATTGACATATCATTGTCATATTTGGAGGGAAGTGTAGATACTATACCTACACTCTAGGCCTGTTCGTTTGTGTTGCTAAACTTGCTAAAGTTGATTTTGTTTCCATAGTTGTCTCTGTTCATGGCATGATGTAAACAGAGTAAGTCATAGAAAAAAATCAAGTTTAGCAGGTAGAGCAAACACAAACGAACAGGCCTTCTACTGAATTAGGTAAAATAAACCTTTCTGACCACTACCAAACGTACGAAAAGGGGAAGTGACTGGTTGATCTCTACTCAGTTCTACGCCACAGATGGAATAGCGATTTCTTCACAATTTTTGATTCTCCGATACTTTCTATATAAATATCGTATATACTGTTTATGAATAGAGATAAAGTCATTATTTATCGAAATATTTCAAGTTAAACATGGAGCTGCACAGTTTTTTGATTCAGATATATATTCATTATAATTATATAAATAATCATGATCAAATTGACGAAATAACAAAATGAGTTTTGAATATTCGAATATAATGGATAATAAAGCTTATAGAAGACATCAGGAGACACACATTTTATCTAGGTGATTTTCGTTGACATCTTCATGTTATGAGCTCAGGAATTCATAGCTAGATTATCTCCAATAATCAGTAATGAAACACCCTGTTTTGTTCACGATTCAGAGATAAACAGTGTTGTCGTCTCAGCCGATTCATCAGCATTTCTATGTGAATGTTTATCTATAGCTCTCAAGATTCAACTGATTTCAACAAAGTTATGGATGAACTGGGCAAGACAGTTCAAAAGATATGAGAGTGATGTCCTCAGAATTCAGAGTACAATGAAATAGTGAAAATTCACAAAAATATTTCAGTTAGAATGCATAGATTTTATGAACCCCATTATAACGTATAATATTTGAGGATAAGACCAAATCTTTTCGATGCTGGTTGAAAACAACTTGCAACAACCTTTCCGATTAGGTATTATAAATCATGTCAGCTTTGAACTTCTAGAATTGTTAATGGGTGTAAAATCAATATTTTATTTATCGCTTTTTGTGCGCATGAAAAAAAATTCCTAAAATGTTCGAAGAACATCATGCGAGACCTTAAATGCATAGGGACAGGACGTAAGTCTTGGAATTTCCATGAATCTTCTGGAGATTATGGGTTGTTGAGAATCATCTCGACAATTCGAATCGAAAATTGATGAACATTCACCTGATATATCCTTAAAGTGAAACAGCTGGCAAAACCAGAAACGATATTATGACGTCACTACTGGATAGACGAGTTTGTCGTTGAACGCCGTGTTTGAACGGTTCATGAAATTGAGTTAAATTTCTTGCCTTTTCAGAGATGTGAAATGTAAATAGATAATTCAAGTTATTGCTCTTCATTCACCCTGTGTTTCAACGCCATCGAATCAAAAAGTTGTTTCAAAATGGCTCTCCGACGAAGTGAAATGAATCGTAGCTTCCTAACTCATATTCCAATATCCAAGGTGAACATTTTTTCCAACTCAGGAACTGTTGTTTGCCTTTGCCTTTCACAGCGCCGACTGCCTTTCGTCGAAATTCACGCACTATAAATTTTCTTTCCAGAATATTTTTTGCCAACTCTCTTCCTTTCCGCTAGTGTATGAAACGAGTCGAGCTGAAGACGACAGAACCGTATGGAGAAAGTTTGTTTCCAGATTTTCCATTGTGCTCTTTGTACACGAGGTGGTCTCTGATGAGCAATTAACATAATTATCTTGATCACTAATTTATTAACCTGTCTCAAACGGTTATTACAGCCTATTTCAAAATGCCTTCTCGAAACTATTATACTCTACTAATATCATTAAAACAATAAAACAACCTTCTCAGAACATGAAGCGCCCACTTTCTCTTGAAGCTTGTTATGAAACTAACAGGAATTCATTGTAGTATGCCTCAAAGCAATAATAAAACCTATCACAACTGCTTTCTTTGAAGCATTTTAGCAAGAGTTCAAACCTATATGCTTTGAAGCGACAGTTCTTATGCCAACATTAAAACATATTGCCTAGAATTAAAACCTTATCATCAGTTGCAGTAAGCATTTGTTAAAATAATATAATCGGTAACGTGTTATATTGGAGTCTTTTTTCAGAACAAATTATAATGAGAACATGTCGAAACTGAGTAAAAACAATAAAAAGTTATGAATGAAAGTAAACATGGCGGTATGTTATAATAATTCCCTACTGTTTCAAATAGTCTTCTTTGTGAAGATTGAGGCTGTAAAATGAAAACGATGACGAATATTTTGACAAAAACATACCAGATATGCTTTAAAAAAAGCAGCGCACTAGAAATAATGTGTTTTTACCAGTTAGAATTGGATGTGAATTTAAATAACTTTTCAAAAATGTTTTCTGAATATGGGCGAGTCGTTTGAAAAATGTGGAAAAACAACATTTTCGTAGGCAGTATCGATGAATCTTCATTATTTCCTGCTTGAAATGTTTATCTCCATCAATGGCCGACATCTGTTCGTATAGTAAATATGGCGCAAAATATATTTAAAACCAATTTTCTTCCTCTAATGCTTAATCAAAGCCTTGAGGCGGCTTAAGGTAATAATATGAGGCATTTTATGAGACGATCTCTTCCTATTGGAGTACTCATTGCATTGCATTCAAATCCATCCTTATGACTATTTGTTCCTGGGTATGACAATAAAGCTTCGAAAATGATAAGATTGATATAAGAAGGATATAAGATGATGCCTCCATAGAACTATATCGCTTTGACAATATCCTGGCTAGTGCTCAATGGGCAGTGTAGCAAAAAGTAGAAGAAAGTCATCAACATGATCAACATAACCCTACTCTTGCTATTCACAGTGTTCAGTTTGTAAATTTTGTGATTGGTTTCAAGTAGGAAACCGAGTAGGAAACATAGACTAACTACACTCCGTGCAGTCTGCCTGATGTTTTGTTGAATGCTCCATTCTCTCAAATTCTTGCGAAACTCGCCATCTGACATACTTTGTGCAAAACTGTTGTCATCGTCCACTAGAGTGGACATTGAGTTTTTTTTTTTTTTTTGAGAAAAATCAGAAAGTTTGGTCAATATTTCAATACAAATCATTACCATACTACTATGAATCGTTCGGTGATTTCCAGAATGATTTTGAATTTTTTAAATCAAATTATGCACGACAGGGTAAATATCTGACGGTTCGGCAAATATCGAAGAACACACTATTTGTATTCATTTATAGTGTTACTACATCGTAAGATGTTTACACTCGTCAATATATACCGGGTGTCCCAGTATACCTGTTCCAATAGATTATCTCAGTCATTTCGAAAGATGAAAATTTGAAAGTTACATGATCTACTACAGTTCTGATAATTTTGAATTATTATTAAAGTCAAAATCGAGATTACAAAAATATCGTAGCCTACTGCAGTTCGTTCAATTTGAAATTCCAATTGTCGTTCGCTCCATCAAATCAAATTTAAAATACGAAGTGTGATACATCGTTGGACGGTAATCTTGAGTAGAAATCAAAAATTGCAAAATATATACATGGTGCTATCTGAGATAAAAAAGTTAGAGTCACCTCTGCTCAAACAAGAAGTGACTTCCAAGTTTTGTTTCTCTCAGTTGAAGCTTTCTTGGACGACTTGGAGATCATGAAATTTTCTAATTTTTATTTCTCGAAATAGCTGAGATAATTCATTGGAACAGGTATACTGGGACACCCAGTATATAAAAAAAATCGTTTGATAATGAATAGATGAATGAAAAAAAATTAAAATAAAGGAAATAGAATAAATAATAATAAACATGATCACATTGGTCAAACAAACATATACACTCAGTTCTATAAATATCACAATTCAGTATTGTTAACTAGAAGTTTTATAAATCTATTTCATGTCATGTGTCAATAAAGGCTGTGAATTCCTGAATAGAGTAGGAACATTTTCTGATCAGATATTCTTTTAATTTACATTTGAAGGGCATTAAATTTAAATTCTTCATCATCAGGTAATTTGTTGAAAAAACTCGGACCATAGAAATTGAGACCTTGTTGAGATTTCTGAAGTCTATTTGTAGTAATGACAATATTATTGTTATTTCTCACCCTGTATTGAAAATTGGTTGAGCGAACCTCCAGTCTGATTCAGATATTATATTATGTAAGAAGATACATGGTATATTCCTTACCTTCAGGTCAACAGAGTTCTTCCATTCCTACAGAGCCCAACCAGTCCAAGGTACGAATTCCTAATCCCCTAATAGAAATTATACCAGGCAAGTTCAGTGATATTCAAGTTGCTATCTAATTGAATTCCATTGTATGTTAAACTTGTTTCAAAGCTCTGGTTAAGCTCAACTTATAAAGCTCCTGAAGTTGTACCTTTCGAGATAAAAGTTAGGTTATTTTCGTGAAGTTAACTAATTTCAGGCA